ACACACACACACACACACACACACACACACACACACACACACACACACACAGGGAGTACGAAACCAATAAGTATTAGAAAGAGTTTTCAATTCATCTAATGATGTAATGACAAATAAAAATAGAGATAGGAGCTAAATATCCCTGAACTAGAAATCCTCTGCAGTAAAGGTGATATGATTCTTCTGGAGGAACTAAACTGGTCTTTCAGACGCCCACTGGACATTCAAACTGAACCGACATCCTGTTATGTGTTTTACTTTTACTATAGCAGTAGCATTAACTCTGAGACCGTGGTTCAATATTAACAGAATGTCATTAATGGAAGCAATAGTGACGTGACCCTGTGTAGTGGCTGGTTGCTCTGACTTTGCCTTGGCTGTTTAGTTTATGACGTTTTTAAACAATCATCTTTTTAGCTGTGCTAAAATGAAGCTAACTCTAAGACTAACGCGTCAGATATGTAAATGCTTTTATGACTTTTATGATTATGAAAACTGTATTTTTCTATACGGTACATTATATGTTTCTACATTGGTGTGAGTCTGGGAGATCAAGTTGTAATAATAATAACAATAATGTTTGTAGCAAATCTAAACACAACCTAACAAAGACTTTTGTACAATATATGACTTGAAATTAAACAAATTTCATTTCTTTCACAGTCTGTGGTGTCATTTAAACAAGTTGTCTGTTGGTTCTGTGTCTCCAGAGCAAGAGTATGTGTCATAGAGTTGTTGAATTACATCATACATCATATATTCCACTTAAATAAATGTATCACAGAAAAATACTTTTCTCCTAGTGTCTTCAAAAGTTGTTTCTTCAGGGTCTCTGTGATTGAGTGTTGCAGCTCGGTTCCCTTGTTTCAAACAGGACCTGCTAAAAGCTCATCACAGACTTTTTCCTGTGTCAATTTGTTCTCATGGTGAATTTGAAACATATAAACTCACAGGAGAGTTTGATTTTCCTTTTAAAACACGTTTTCTCAGTCAGTTTCTCACTGTGAAAGATGATGTCCGACATGAACACACAAATCTGTGCAAAGAAAAGCATGTTTAGGGAGCTGGAGTGTGCAAATCCAAGTAAAAGTCTGGATCTAGTGAATTTAAATGTGGTTTCATAAGGGAACAGGAGGTGTGCCCGTTTTGTTCTATGGACCAAGTTGCTCAGATGGAAACTCACTTCCATCAGGATCTTCTACGATTTGAATTCAAATCTGATGTTAACAGTTTGGTGACAGTCAGAGTCAAATTCTATAAGAACCAAGTCACGAACATGAAAAGTTCCTTCAGCTGCTGTAAAATGAGGTGCATATTAATCAGTAGGTTTTCTTCTCTTGCACACGTCTCAGCCGCTGGACCACTGTGTTGAAACTTGCTGGATGAGAGCGTGGTCTGATGAGTGTGACGGACCAGTGGCAGCTGCTCTTATGATGCGTGAGGTAAAGTTATCAAAGCAGGAAGTACAGGGCAGAGTCAACAGAACACAGTCAGACAGATACAGTACATACAGCTCATTTCACCAGAACATTTCCTTCATTTCAAAAACAGCAGGGCACAGACGACCAGCAGGACTGGAATCCCAGGAGTGAAAGGTGAAAATATTGGTGGTGAAACCTGGTTGTTACCATTTCTTCTGTTCTGACACTGGCTGGACTGCAGGACTGTTTTCACTATTTATTTGGCATCAAATATTGGATGAGATCTGTGGGTTATCTTTGAACATCCTCACACATTACATCTGTTCACTATTAGGAGAATAGAGCCTGTTTAATTCCACACATACTCTGAGTTCTACTTTTACTAGCTTCCAGAAAACGTCCATAACAATAGGGACATTTCATTTAAGAGACGTTTTTCACGTGTATTATCCGACACTTTGTGCACCAATTAATCTCCAATTCTATGGTTTGATACCATCAGGAAAGACAACATTGTAGTTTTGGTTGTAGTTTTAAAGAGGGAAATCTATATTTCTGTAATATTTTCTGTATCAACTTCTTTATTATTTATTTACTATGCCATAATTTACTGGTTATGTGACACACGCAAACACATTTTGTGGAGAGGAGGGACATGACCCAAAGAAGATACCATTCAATTTTGTTGCAGATCTGGATCAGTGGATTGTTCGTTGTGCAAATGAAATCATCGTGCATTTTCTTTTCCTTCTTCTTCATTTTCATTGATTCCTCTGAGAATAATCTAATATTAGACAGATTTAGAAGACGGATATATATATATATATGACTATGTGCAATTCAGTAGATAAAATCTGGATCTGAATTTAAATATGGTTTGATAAGTCGACTGTTGGGCTTTGAAAGAGGTCCGTGTTATACTGAGAGTGATTCTAGTTTGTTTGTCAAGGTCCTTTTTTGTTTGTTTGTTAGATTCGCTTTTTGACATTTTTACCAATTTCCCAGGGAACATTGGATCTCAGTATTGGATGATGGATCTTGATGAAAAATCTGACACATTTAGAAAACTCATTTCTATGAGTGTGGTGCAGCTTGATGAATGTAAGCGGACTGTTGGACCTTGGTGCAGGTATGTGCTCTACTGAGTGCTACTCTAGTTTAATATTTAATAATTAGAAATTATTTAAAGGACAATTTTTACAAGTAAAAGTGTGTGTAATTGAATAACTGAGCAGAAAGCCCTTTTTCCCCATGGCTCTGAATTAATACCACTGAGATCATCGTCCACAGTGATGTCCTCATTTTCTCTGAGAGTAAAATCCCTGAGGGGGGTTAATGTTTCAAAACATTCTAACTACAGAAGTCAGATGAACTGAAGCCTCCACTTTCCTTTATGTTCATTCTCTTCTAATGGTTTCTATTTTCAGCTCAGTGCATGTAAAGGCAATTCTTTGCTGGAAAAGGTGCTGAATAAAATAAGGAAAATAGCCCAGGGACAATATTTGTTAAAAATAGCTGGTTCTCTGTGTGTAAGTGACATAATATTGTCCTCCAAGAGGAGGCAGAGGGCGGGGGGGCCATCACTGAGAGTCACAGAGCTGCTGCAGAGTGAGGATGAGTCCACATGGTCACTCACACAGGTTCCTACTTTATTTCACTCAAATAACTACATGTCAGACATTTATCAGTTCGATTTCTGTTT